CTCACTGATGGTTTACATGCAGCTTTCAATCTGAAGGAGTTGGGTGCCCTGTCATATTTTCTGGGTCTTGAAGTGTCTCGTACGCCGGGTGGAATTTTGTTGAGTCAACATAAGTATATCGACGATTTGCTCCACGCTACTAAGTTTGATCATAGTCGGCCTGCATCCACACCTATGGAACTGAATGTTAAGCTCAGTCGTGACACCGGGACACCCCTCGCCGATGGCTCTCAATATCGGTCTATTGTTGGCAGTTTGATTTACTTAACCCATACCCGTCCTGATATATCTTATGCTGTCCAGGTGGTTAGCCAGTTCATGGCTCATCCCCGTGATGCTCACCTTGTTGCTGTTCATCGCATACTTCGCTATCTCCAGCAGACAGCAGATGTTGGTCTCTTTTTTCCATCCACAGGTGACCTGGAGTTGCAGGCGTTCTCTAATTCTGACTTCGCCGGTTGCATTGATACTAGGCGGTCTACCAGTGGGTGGTGTGTGCGTTTCGGGGAGGCTTTCATATCCTGGCGGTGTAAGAAGCAGGACAAGGTCTCCAAGTCGTCCACGGAGGCCGAGTATCGCTCCATGTCTGAAGTTGGGTCCGAACTGGTGTGGTTGCGCCGCTTGCTGGGTGATTTTGGTGTCTCGTGTGCCACTCCTATGCCTCTCTATGTGGACAACACTAGCGCTATCCAGATTGCTGTGAACCCTGTTCTCCACGACCGCACGAAGCATATAGAGATTCATGTCCACTACATTCGTGATCTCGTTCGTGATGAGGTTGTTATCCTTCGCTATTTACCGACCGAGCATCAGGTGGCGGATATGTTTACAAAGCCGTTCACATCGAGTCGTCATTGGTACCTGTCTGGCAAATTGATGCTTCGTGACCGGCATCAATTTGGGGGAGGCTGTTAGCGGGTTAGCATCTCTGGATTTGGGTCTCGGCCCATGTTCGTACATATGTTTAGTTCAGACTCTATTTTGTACTTGGGTTTTTTGGCTGGACTTTGGTTGGACGTGCATGTAGGGTTAGGGTGCATGGAGTTAGGGTTGGGAGGGTATATATATTTGCCCTTATGTACTGTGCCGATCATCGAATCTTGTGAGAATAAGATACAAGCTCGGAGAGGTCATCTCTCCCGTGGACTAGTCCCGAATCTCGGGGATACCACGTACATCGTGTGTGTGATTCGTTCATTTGTTTAAGCTCGATTTGTTAACATTGTGTAGAACGAGCAAGGCGTCTGTTCCGGATGGCGGGTGTACTGCAAACTCATGCAAAACAAGGGTCCGTGGGCGGTCACCCCGGACACTCTCCGAAGCTTAAGTTAGAGAGAGAATAAGAAGTAGTGTTTAGGTTTAGAGAGAGAGAGATAGTAGTTGGGTTACCATTAATGCCGATACCAGTGTATTTATAGTCAGCCAGCTTGAGTATGAGGCATTAAATGCTTTGTCAGGCGGCCTAGATAGGCTCAGCTTTATCTGGACCGCCTGCGGCGGGCATTAAATGCTCAGTCCTGCTGTATACGAGGTAAGTATCATAGGAAGATCTACTTTTCCAAACACCAACGGTTTCCTGTGTCGGGCGGCCTATTCCCCGTCGCATCATAGGGTGGCTGCCTACGGTATCTCCTTTCCCCATGTCCTTTCTCGGGTCCCTCGCTGTGACTCGGACCCATCTTTGGGCCCTGTTCTGTCATCTCTTCGTGGGCCTCTTAGGCCCAATACCGCTTAACTATGGGCCCAACAATAATTTTTATTTTTTACATTTTAGTACCTAAAATTTAATTTTATACAAAAATATCATTGGAAAAATAAGTTTTGATACCTAAACTTTTTTATTATAACATTTTAGTATCTACAATATTATGTTCAAACTTCGACTGAATGGAAATTTTTCTTCTTATTTTTAATGATACAAGCCCATCAAGCTTTGGTGAGACTTCTAAAGAAGCTTGATCTCTGATATTTTGTACTTGACGGCTCATGGCAAGTCGTCCCTTGGGCCGAGTTACAAATATAGAGAAGGATTCGTCGTTACGATCCAAATTGGATTCGTGGGCAAGTCATTGCACCTAAGGCCCATAAACCCCGATTCTCAACTGTTATAAGCCCAACCTATGGCCCACAAACAACCCCTTCAAAATAGTCAAAAAGACCACCAGCCTCCTAGTGAATTATTACATCATCAAAACTCAAGCCTAGGGCATTCACCATTAGGGGTGTACATGGGTCGGGTGGTCCAGGTTTAGCCATTTTAATCACCCGACTCATGCACTACGGTTTGGGAAATATTAAACCCAAACCCACCCAAAAAAATTAAAACCATACGGTTTGTTTCTAATTGGGTTGGGTCGAGTTGGCGATATTTTTAAGTAAAAACCCAACCCAATACAAAATATGTAATTATTCTACACCATAAAAATATTTTATAACTAATTAAAATTTCAAACGAATAAACCGAGGTGAAAGGTATCAAAGTTCACAAATGTTGTTTAAATTTTATTAAAATGTGATTTACGTCAACATATATATAGTTTTTTTCCACGACATTTGTTGAAATAGGATAAAAATGTTATAAACGAACGCATCCATAATATATAATTCTATTAAAATCGTACACAAGAAAAATGATTACGTGAATCATAGCTATATTAATTCTATGTCTAAACTTTAACCCGAAAAATGCATTAGATTAGTGAGACCATGAGAGAAAAATATGGCAAAATATCTTAATTTTCTAATAAGTATGGTTATATACGACATAAATATTTTTTGGATTCGAACTCATATCAATAGTTGGAACACGGGTTGGGTTGGGTTCTACGGGTTGTGTAATCCAAAATCCATACCCAACCCAAAAGAGGCGGGTTGTAGAAAAGAAAACCCTAACCCAACCCAAAACCTTAGTTTTAACGATAAATACGGGTGGGTTGGGTCGGGTTGGACGGATGGGTCGGTTTGTGGGTGTGTTTGTTCACCCCTATTCACCATCCCAATTGAATCCAACTACTTCATATCATCATACCATTTCTTATTTAGTGGGTCTTTCTGCTCAATGAATCTTCAAACGAAATGAAACTGTTGCTATGAATTGACAATTGAAAATCACAGAATCTCGTTGTTTTCGCAAGCCGTCCGTCCAACCCTTTTATAATATGTGCTCTTATCAAATATGATAAAAAAAACGGTATCTTTTGTCTTAGACTGTTTAACACATTTGTGTGTTACCCAAACTTTTTTTCCAGATTCTTTTATTTCATTCAAATATATTAGAATACTATTTATTAACCAAACGTATGTAATTGATCAAAGTTTGTGCATTCATTCTGTTACCGTTAATTGTTTACTAACGAATCTCCACGTAAGCATCCACATCAGCGTCCACGTCAGAAATTAAAAAAAATTAATAAAAAAATGGCAAACTAATCTCTTCTCCCCTGCGTTGTCGTCCCTATCAAATCGTTCATTTGCCCCGACAACATCGAACGAGTCAAGTGGTTCCAATTTCTGATCGAAATGTGATGGAACTAGAAGGTTATAGATAGAAGCTTCCATCTTTTACCCTTATAAGTTAAAGAAACAAACAGTTACAAAAGAGCCCGACAAGGTGGATTATATTAGCTAGAAAAGATGGTAGAAGATCGTCAAATTTGACATTCGTTTCATGGGGTCTAGTCTCCCCATAATCTATTCATCATTCAACCATTATCTTATTTAACATGTGTTGCACATTTTTTCCTTTTTATATTTATTTTGAAATAAATCCACCACTTTCACAAGTAGGTCCATACAACATTTATTTATTTATTTTGAGCCACCACTTGATGTTTTGTTTGTTTTTGGCTTTGGCACGGTGTTGGATATGTTCGTCGTTAATAGGTCTCGTTATCGACTATTTCGGTATTTTGTAAGGTAAAAAATTCCTTAATTATTGGTATGTTAAAGTTTCGTTTTGAAATATGATCGATGCAAATAAAATTGGGATGTTAAACAATAAAAATTATGATTGGGATGGCTATACACATGGTAATTTTGCTATGAATATGATTAGCACAACAAAAGCTGATTAGGTCGACTTTATGTTAATACCATTCACACATGATAATATTGTTTAATTTTTCTATATAGCCTGGCCATTGTTGATTGCACTTAAACATGTTTGATTAGCCTTGGATGAGATTCTCATCAAAGTTATTATTGAGATGGTTGGTGACAGCCCAAGTATTTTATTAAAATAAACATAAAGAAGTGTGTGGAAAGTAGAGTAAAATGGAATCAATGAAGGATAAAGGTTGATATTTAGCACCCATTATTTTAACTTTAAACACATGGGTGCAGTGATTAGGCTAATTAAATAAATTTATATAACAAATACATCTAGAAACAATGGTTAAATTAAGGAACCGTGCGATGAGTTAGACATTTTGATTATTCATAGGCCATCACTGTCGCTTATTAATTTCTTTCACATTATTCTTTTCACACACAAAATAGATAATTACTATAGACTAAGTGTTTAGGTCATTTGAAAGTTCAAGTTCAAGTGAAGAGTTAATTTTGATTTTGCTCATGCTACGTTTGTGCTTGACCACTATCGTACAAGTGAGTTAGCACCTATTGAATAGTTTAGAAGTACGATGATTTTAGATGATCTACGTTATCCTTGCCATTCGAACATCGATAAACAAAAAAAAAACCCCATCTTTCAACTCCCGTAAGTATATAACCATAGTAGATCCCTACAATTCGAACAAAAAAACAAAAACAAAATAAAGAAATTAAACTCAATTTCCAAATCACGTAGATGTTGTTTGATGAATGATCTAGGTTAAGTTACGGGGCACATTCATATAAAAAGATCGAGCAATTTAGTCAACCTTCCTTGTAAACCTTCCTGCGATAGCGACAAAAATAATATCGATCAGACAACACAGCTAGCCATGCTGAACACCATCATGACCAACCACATCTTCCTAGCAACTCCGGGACTTGAGCAAATGAACATTTTAAGTTCATTAACTTAAGGGGTTGCGTGGTAAGCATGTAACGTAGAATTCATGCGTTAAAAGAGAACTCATGTATATTGTAAATTGTAAATTGATTTGTCAGAACTCGTTCATTGTTTGGCTCGTATGAATTAATGGTAGGACACTAGGACTCACATAATTTGGCATGAATTCATGCTTCAAAATGTAATATGAAAATCAGTGAGCATATTAACTGATTTTTTTTTTGACAAAAGATATTCATATATATAGAATCAACCAAAGGATAGTTACATCCTGGAGCACAGCCAGGTCTGGAAATCAAACAAACAACTTGCAGTCGGAAACAATGAAAGGGCCTTCCTAGCCACCAAGTGGGCTACCCTATTGTGACAGCGACCTACAAATCGAACACTAAACCCCGGATGCAATGCAAAACAATTAACCACCTCTTCCAAAACCGCACCCATCCTAATATCACCAGTCTCCGCCCTATTGATCTTGTCTATGACCACTTTGGCGTCCCCTTCAAAGCAAACTTCCGAGACCCCATTCGCCAGACACCAACCTAAAGCCTCGCGCAAGGCCAGCACTTCCACCACCATAGACTGATTACTAAACTAACTAAATAAGAAAGTCGCATAAGTATTTGGGAAGCTAAACTAATTAAGTGTACTTCACCAATCACCTTCTAGAAACCAATGGTTGCAAGCAGAAGAATTTGGTGAGGCAAATGAACAATGAATATAAAAGTAGTGACCGAAACGGCAATTAATCCCACCAGGCCACCACCATCATCACCCAAGAAAAAGAAAATTGTCCCCATACGATAATTGCAAGAACAGCGACCAATCATAATTCTGCTCTGCTCTCTGCAATCACAGTCCCACTCACTCACATGCTTCCTTCTCTTCTCTTCTCCACCGCAAAATCCCAGAAACCCTTTTAGAAAAACAACAAGAGATCTTTGCCAATTCGTCATCCAACAACCCTATCAGAAAGCTCCACCCTTTTTTACCCTATCCAGCATAGAAATTAATAGCATGTGATGTTGGTTTCCACTCTCCCACTGCTGAAAATGGCGAGTCATTCAACCCAAACAACCATGAGTTTCCCACACAGAAACCCATATCAGGCAAGTCTTGCTTCACCAGAACCTTTCTGCAAACCTTTCTGTCATTCCTTGTCTCATCAACCACAAACCAGAAATGTCAGGCTACTCTCTAACATGAGCTAATCAGAGGTTAGTTTTCGCAGCGAGCTCAATCTCGCTCTACCCCAAACTGGATTCAACTGGTGATGAGAGCCACACAGCCAAGTATTGCTTCCCCAACAATTCAGTAGTCTTACACCAACCGGCACCACAACTGAGATTGAAGAGTTTCAAAGTGCAGTGACACTTTGATATTGAGAGCTTAATCGTTCGTTCTTACCAGCTTTGCACGACTCAAACTGGATTAAACTAGTGAGAATTCAGTGGTTGTGGAAAGAGAAACAGATACCATACATTTCCACACAGTAATGAGAATAAGAAGTATCAATAAATTCATCAGCTTCACAACAACAATATGATTGATTATTACTGTATATACACCATATCAAGACCCAATATTTTGACAAAGTTACAGAGGCAGAGCTTTTTTTTTTGTTGCAACAAAAAACAGTCTTTCCTCCCCTTTCTCATCTTCCCTTCAGTGGGGAAGAAGAGGAAGCAGCAGCAGTAACAAACACCTAATACATTCATAATACTTGCTAGTTGCTACCTCTAATCATGCCAATCAGAACCTAAGCTTATATCTGCTTCTCAAACTCAATAATATTACACTAGGACCAAAAATATGCCAAAATAAGACAACACTAGTTTACACTTCCTCTGCCCTAATAAAATTGTCCCCAAAACTGGTGCAATCTCAATGAACATACAACAAACCAGCTGGTTTGCTGCAGCTTAACTTACTTGCCACTATCGAAAGTCACCAACTTTGTTAGACAAAGCTAACCTGAGCTGCTCCTGGGTATAGAATCGGCTCCCCATCTTCACCGTCGCTTGCTGGATCATCAATTCATTTACTACCGAGACACTCGCATGGTGGACATCTAGATCCAGCTCTTTCAAAGCAGCCATTAGTCTAGCTGCTGGATGGTTCCTCTTGCTGCATTGTACCCTTATCATAGCATCCCATCCAATTATCTTCACCTCGATCTCCATCTCGATCTGCGAGCTGTTAGTGCTTGACGAGTTAGATGACTTGAGATCTTGATTATCTGGTGGTGGCCGCTGCTGAGGATGAGATGACGATTCGTCCCTCAACGACTCGACCTGCTTCTGGAGCTCGTCCTTCTCAGATTCTGTAGACTGGAGCTTCAGTCGGAGCTCCTTGATGTAGGAAATGGCATCTCCCAAGAGGGAAGCTTTGTCCATTTTAGAGACATTGGGAACTACTGCTCTTAGAGCATAGAATCTCTGGTTCAGCTTCTCACGCCTTTGTCTCTCTGCTTCGACGTGGTTCAGTGGCTCTTCCCTGCCGTTGGCCGGTTTCCTCCCTCGCTTTCTAGGTTTTTTTTCAGGCTCCACGACTCGACTGGAGTCTACTTCCCTGACAAAGGATGCTTCAATGTCGGAGTGGTCGGAGTCTGCCGCGACGGTGGATTTGGCTGTGCCGGAGGAAGGCAGGATTACGCCGGAAGTGAATGAGAGCATCCCTTCGTCGTTGCTCCCCCTGGAAGTCGGGGATCTCTTCTTCTTGTTGCTCTCTTCCAGCTGTGGATTATGGTTATGGCTGCCGGAGAACAGATTTCCATTCCCCCCGCTTGATGAGCTTCTCTTGCTATCCCCGAAATTAAGAATCTCGCCGGATTCTGGCTTCAGAATCGAATTCCCATTCCGGTTGTTGTTGTTGTTTCCCCCAATTCCGGTGTACTCGCCGAAGTTCAAGTCGCGTGTGAAGAAGCTCTGCGTTTGGTTCTGGTTATGGATTCCGCTAGGATTCTCCGTCAAGCTGCTTGAGCTAGGGTAAGAATTGTTGTGGTGGTGGTGGTGATTAGGGTTTCCACCGCTGGACGACGGAGCCACCGTGGTAGCCGCGGCGGAGGAGGTCTTGTTGTTGTTGTTGTTACTATTGTTTCCGCCGCCGTCCTTCATTTCCGGGTCCGTGATCCAGAGCGACGACGGGTCGTTCTCTCCCTGGTCGTGATTCGACGGGGTCGGCGGCGGCGGAGCCCAGGAACTTTCGATTCCGCCGCTACCACTGAAATTGAACAAAACCCTAACCTTGTTCATCAGATCCGAGCTCTGGTAAATCGGGTCCGTCGACCCGAGCTCGACGACGCCGTTGGCCGACGGGATGCAGACGATTGTCTGGAGGCCGAACACTTGCCCCTGCTTCGCCCGCTCGCAGGGAGCGGCGGTCATGCGGTCCGACCCGACCAACCAGGCGGGAGACCCGTTGAAGAAAGCCTGACCCGGCAACCCGACCCCGTTCACAAACGACTGGGTCATGGAGACCAAGAAGAACCACTCGGTATCCGTAACTTCCTCGTCCACCGCGTCGTCGGCAGAGGCGCCGTTGGGGCCGGAGATCAACGAATTGAGCTCCCGGAGGACCTTCTTCCGGTGCTCCTGCTCCGCCGTGCTGGTATTCTTCCTCAATTTCCCTTTCCCCTTATTGTCTTCCCCCTTATAGTACCCGTCGCCCCATCCCAACACGGAGGCGCCGGAGAAATCGTAGGACGATTGCCAGAAGATGGCGTAGGTCCAGTTCTCCCTCGCCCCGTCGATCAGCGCCTGGAGGCGCTGCTGGAGGGATTCCTGATTGAAGAGCGGCGGCGGAAGGGAGGGCGTCGGCGGCGGGGGAGGGTGGTGAGATTTGATGGGATCGGCGGGGGTGGAAGTGGAGGTGGAAGAGGAGTGATGAGGTGGCGGAGGAGGCGGCGGCCAGAGGGCGGAGAGATCGGAATTCATAAAGGCTTCCATCACGGAGGCGTTGTCGTCGGTCCAGAGATTCATCGTCGCGGCGGAGGGGAGGCGGTAATCTGTCATTCGACGGCGGTGGCGGAGGGAGGAGGGTGGGGGATTTTTTTATATATTTTTGTTTGGAAGTAAGAAAATGAAAATAAAAGTGGTTATTTGTGAAAGGAAGAGGAAGTGGTGGGTGGAATTTAGAAGTGCGGGGGCGAAGGAGGGAGTTGGAGGATAAGGAAGGGAAAAGGAAAGGGGGAGTTTTTTGTTTTTGTTTTTGGGGACAATTTGTCCTGCATTTCGCAATTACTTGGGGTCGTTTGGATGTGGAAATTTGAAAACGTTGGAATTTGTCTGAATTTACATGTTTTACAAAATCAAAGAATTGACTTATGGAAATTGAAAAAAATTTCACGTTTGGATAGGGTTTAGTTTTGTGGGAATTGATGGTGTGGAATTTGGAAAAAGAAGTAAGAAAACGTGGTAATGTCAAATTACTAGGGGGAGGTGTAGTATTCTCAATTACCATGAATGTGGTAATTGAAGCCAATTTCCATGGTCCAATTCCCATACCCTTTTTGCTCTCCCAAACGTGGGTTTTAAACCCAATTACTGCGTTATGTGGTATTTGGGTCCAATTACTGCATTGCATTTCCACGTCCAAACGACCCCTTGGAGTAATTTTTGTAGCAAAATGAAATTTTTTTTTTAATTCACCTCAAAACGTATTTTAAAGTTGGATTGTTTCTTATAAATCTGGGTTTATCACGTGTTTTGTCGATGTGAGATTTGTCTGTGGTGTTACATTATACCCCTTCGGGACTCAACGTCCTCGTTGGGGTTTGCAATCAAGAGGGACATACAGAGTCTCTGGTACCACTTTTGACATTTCAATCATTTTCTGACTAAAATATTGTCCACTTTGAGTCTACCCGCACAATTTTGCTTAATTTTTGGGAACATCATGGTGACTTTCCGGGAGGTGACTCATCTCTGCACTACTCCACACTGAGAACATTTAACTTCGTAGTCATTATAAGAACTCATCCATTTTATCCCAAAACTTGTCTTGTTGGTTAAAGTTGAATTGTTCTTTATGAACCATGGATTTCTTCCCGTGTTTAGTCGATGTGAGATTTGTCTAACGTGTTACACTACACCCCCCTCGGGACTCAATGTCCTCGTTGAGGTTTTTCTCGCCATTGTTCAAGAAGGACATAGAGAGTCTTTGATGCCACTTATAAGTTATAACTTTTCAATTTTTTCCTGGCCAAGATATTGTTTGCTTTGAACCTAACCCTGCACGATTTTGTTTTTGGCCACATCATGGTGACTTCTCAACAGGTCACCAATCTTTTCACCGTTGCAGACGGCTCATGTTTAACCTAAAGTTCTTATAAGAACTCATATATTTCATCCCAAAATGCGTCTTTGTCAGTTAATGTTGGATTGTTCCTTATGAACTATGGTTCTTTTCCATGGTTTGTCGATTTAAAATTTGGCTTAAGTGTTACAAATACTAAATTGTAAGTTTTATTATTTTCCTTTTCTCTTTTAAGTTTTAAAATATGGAAGATCACAACAAACTACTACATCAAAATGAGAAGAAGGAATCAATAAACTTGCGGATTTCCCCTCAATGTACATTAGTTGTTTCAACAAATTCTCAAAATACAATAGTTATTATCAAATTTATTCAATCTAGATATGTTTTACATCGATTTGCATAAATATTGCTCGGGAGGAAAGTGATTAACCATTGTGGAACACTTGATCGTTGTTAGACAAAACGAATCAATAGGGATCGTTGGAGGGTGCAGTGATCAACTTTTTCGTCGTTGAAAGGTAAAGCAATGCGATGAACTTCAAACTAGAAAAATGTTTCTAATAATCGAGGCAAACTTAGACTAAAAAGGAAAATTATAGAGGCAATATAGGTATTTCACCAATGAAATTATAGTTCAAAGCCAATGTTTTTGGTTCAAATCAGTCATCTCTAAGATGTATTCTTAATGTTCATATTAATTAAGTACTTTGGGGAGACTGGCCATGTTCACATGCATGCCCGACGAACTCTATTTTTTTTAAGAGGGTTTAACAAATAAAAAAAGAAAAGTAGATGCTAATTAGTATTAATAAAGAGGCCAAAAGCCCAAATGGGGTACTTAGGTTGGTCATTACAGAAGTGAGCTCTCAGTTGTTGTCCTGTGTAGTTGTGCTTGGGATTTTGTTTTTTTAATGGTTTGCTTATGCTTTCAAGAAATTGGTTTGCTTCAAATCCACCCTTTTAATGATAAATTATAAATAAAAAATACACTAAGTAACCCAGTTCTTATTAATTTAGGAGTCAATGACCACTTAGTCCCCATAATTTATTATTCTGAAGTGCGCGTATATTTATGATGGGTTCCATCGTTCACTAAGTAAAAATTGGGTATCGCATACCATTGATAAGAAACGTTATTTATACCTCGAATTAACATGATTTTGGGATATGATACTATACACCCTAACCTTTGATGAATGAACCCTAGGTTTTAATCATCTAAATCATAGACCCTAGACACTAAGATGATGCATATAATTTATTATATGTATTTCGACGAATTATGACCGTCAACTATTATTACTAAATTGGATTTGGGGTTTAAGATTTATAGAAACAAGACTTAAATTTTAATTTTTAAGGGTTAGAGACTTAGAGTATAGTGACATGTCCCAAACTTCACCCAATGTATTCGGTGCACTCACTTTTTTTGGTGCATTCAATGCACTCGCTTCATAATCATCATTTCGAGAAGGCGACTCATGTGAAAACGATATCATTCATCACTTGTGGTTTGATGAACAAGAAACACATAAATTTGTACAAACATCATTCAAGATTTACTTTAATTTGAATGATTCAGGGTTTAGGAATTTAGGATTAGGGTTAGAGTTTACAATTTGGGATTTTGGGTTGGAATTCAAAATTGAAGGTTAAGGGGTTATGATAATGGATTGATTAGTTGTGATGTTATATTATATCATCATATTAGACTAATGCTACCCATTAAAATTCAAAATTCGATGTACTATTACCACTTTTAGAGTTGAGTTCACTGAATGCTCCCAAAAAAAGTGAGTGCACATGCGGAGCTTCAATCCTCCTTCTGCCACCGCGCTCTCTCCCCTTTCTCCTCCAAATCACTAACGATTTCGTAGCAGAGGTGCCTCTGCAGGCTCCATGTCTCCCTCTCCCCAGACCTCTTCCAACTCAAATTTCTCGTCACACTACTTTACCTCGTTAAGATCTTTGTCAAGAAGAGCACACCTCTTGGATCCTAGGTTGTCCTCTCCATCTTCTCCACTTCTAGATCGTCCCCCTCCTCTAGCTCATCTTCATCTTCGGCGCCTCCTCCAACCTCTTTTGGCTCCCATGCCCTTCTTCAACCACAACTACCCTCCTCCACGCATCTATTGGCGATGGATGCTATCGGAGTGACTTCATCTGTCACGACAGCTAAGATTTCTGGTAGGCTCCACTAACGATAGATTGACGGGAATTCGATTATTTCTTTCGCCGAGACACCGCCATGGAGAGCAGCGAGAAGCATCATTTGGTTCGAATCTTTCTTTCGAGAAGAAATGACAATATTTTTCATTTTATTCATTCACATCAACGATAACAAGTGATAACACAAAACCGATAAACAAACAAGCATGTGGGGATTTCTTTTTATAAACAAAGACAGCGATTTGCTACACAAAATGGCCACAAAACCAAATTAAACCAAACCGATGGCTCCTCCTGTGGGAAGAAAAGGAGGGAAGCCTTATTAGGCGAAGAAAGAAAACGAGGGGATGAAAGAGACGAGTCCGAGTGAGTGAGTGTCCGACCAAAGGAATAGTGAAAGATCAGTCCATTATTATAGAGTGAGGCTATAGTCTTCTGATTTCAACCATTTTATATTTGCTCATTACATGAAACATTAAATAAATGATAAAAGAGAGATGAATCTAAAAATTTGTAAGAGCGAATTTATAAACTCATTTAGTACATTTACGGGGTTCTAAACAAAATTCTACTAACTACATGTACATCTACATAAGCAAGTGTCAATAAATTGCTACAAAACCTTTCCATCATCTACTTTTTCTTCGTTTTATTTTTCACTCGCCTTCCATAACGCTTTATTTATTTCTTTATATGACTTCTTCGTCTAACCCTAATTAGTAAACTATTTCAATGTATTTACGTCTCCTACAGTCCCTCCTGATTTCAAACTAACTCCTTAATTTCTCTGAACTTAACTGGGGATGGTAAAATTATTCCTACAGAATCCATACAATTATGTATTGCAACAATATTTTAGAACTTTTCATTTTATCAATTGTTCATCCATATACCATATTTTTCATGCATTAATTTTTCGGACTACGAATCTTGTTCATCTTCTCACAGTTTATAAACATTATGTAAAAACAAAAAAAAAATTCAATCCGACATTCTAGGAAACATTTCCACAAAATAGCACAAAACTTTAGTTAAAATTATCCGGAAATGATGGGAGTAAGTTTTCTCCAAACCATATGCTGGTAGGTTTTAATATATATATATGATGTAAAATTTTAACTAAAGGATTATTACTACAAACAGTTCGTTACCTTAACAACAATCTCAATGGGCAGACAGTTTTCCATTACAAAAACATTATTGCAACTAACAAATTCCTATGTATATTTTAACACCTTTTTGAGTTTTGACGCGAGGCACACAACACGCAATCATGGAAAAAGACAACATTAAAAAGACAAAAAAGCTAAAAAATAACGATTAAAAGAATTTCCCAATGAGTGAAACACAAAAGCAGGCAAAAGAATTTGCTCTCCGCGTAGCCCTTCGAGTTTGTTTGGATTAGGGGTGGACATTCGCTCGGTTTGGTTTCGACCGGATCGAAATTATGAATATCGGGTCCTCGAATTCTCTCAAACCTCAAACCGAATTCGATCCGAATTATAATTCGGTTCGGTCGGTTTAAACCGAATTATAATTCGTTTTGGTTCGGTTTTTCACCCAAAACCGAATTTGTGAAGCTACTAGTATTTTCTCACTTTTAAATTATTTTTCACCCCTAATATAAACAATAAATATCAATTATATACATCATCAACGACAAAATCAAACTTTTCAACACATAAGTCATAAAACATTTCAAATATTTAAGTCTAAAAACAACTACAAACATAAATATCCACCATTTGGAGCTTGCAATTATAGTATTTCGGTTTTTGATCGAAAATTCGGAAATTCGGTTCGGTTAAAGAACCCTGGTTTCCGAACTATCCATATTTTCCTTCCGAATTCCGAACCGAATAGCATTAATTCGGTTTTGGTTCGGTTCGGTTCGAGTTTACCGAACCGTTTGCCCACCCCTAGTTTGGATCGCCCTCCTTTTCTCCCCGAAAAACAAAAACAAAGACTTAGGAGACGTTTGGTTTGTGTGTTTGAGAACCAGTGTTAGGATCAATAGACCTATTAAGCCCAAACAGTTCTAAGGTCCAATTCGATAAGAGAGCAATAATTAGGTGCCTATAAGAAACATTGATCAAGATAATGTGTCCTTTCAGAATACTCGATAAAAAAACGATCGACACAATGTATTGTATTTCTTTGATTTTGATTCTCCAATTGTCGATCCAATTGGATGATTCTGTACCGAACTAGACCATGCAAACTACTTGTTGCAAATTCTGAATTGACTCGCACGACCCAACCTGTCCTGACCCCGAACCATTTTCCATCACTAATGCAAACCCTTCAATCACATGCATCCAAACAAGGCTTGAGAGTTATTTCGGTATTTACAATATACACACGTTTTTGTTTGGCGACCCCTCTCTCGTTTTTTTGCCAACATTTCCCACGTCTTTATTTCCCCCATGTGATAAACTCTTTTTTTTTATTTTTTTATTTTTTATCATAGTGACTAGTGAGCTCGTTGAATTATGCGTTTGTCTGCATTGGTCCAAACAAAGCAATATTAAACAAAAGGCTTAATTGCAAGTTTGGTCACTCGAATTGCTATAAAATTTCACGTTTGCCACTCAAATTAATTTATTTAATTTATAGTCACTCGAATTAGTTGAACAGTTCAAGTTCGGTCATTCTCCGTTAACTTTGACTGACGTGGCGGTCAACTCTGACAGTTGACCGTTAAATGTGTGACGTGGCAAATAAAAAATAATTAAAAATTAAATTTTTAGAAATTACACATCATTATCAAAAAAAAATTATAATCATAAAAAATGAATGTGTAATTTCTAAAAATGAATCTCGACCACCCAGTCGCTCACAACTGCCGGATCTCGTCCTCCGCCACTGTCCGCAGCCAGATACCTCAGAGCAAGCCCGGCATTGCTCCCGATCCCTGAGACAATACCAGATTCCGCCGCTTGGTCCACCGCAGGGTCGCGGCGACGGCGGAGGGTCCGTCGGCGAAGCCGTTCCAGGTCGGCGCGGGGGGCAGCCTGATGGAGAAGCTCAGGGCGTTCGACATTGTCCGAGACCGGGTCCGATTGGACGGGCTCGTCCCTCCTCCGTCGGTGGGGTAGGAGTCGGAATCGGAGTCGCCGACAAAGACCACGACGGCAGCGGACGGGCTGACTGTCGATGATGCGAGAAAGCTGCTGCGTGTGGCGCGATTGGAGATGGTCAAATCGAAGCTAAGAGATACGGGAAGGAACTGGATGGTGGAATCCGAAAGAAGTGGCTGCTAAGGTAGCTTTGCCGAAAGGAGTCTGTACAAAAGGCATGTTGCTTTGCATTCTCTGTATCTTAGTATCAGTGCTGATGGCACTTTAGGTGTCTGCTTCCCTCTATTATTATTGCTTGCATACTTCTGCCTTACCCTTAGACGATGATAGTTTCTTTTTTTGAAAGGAGAGACATAAGAGAAGCTTAGATAGTAGAATGAAAATGTTATTCGGTAAGAGCTGTAAGAGGTGAGATATTTGATAAGCAAAACTAAAGCTGATTTTCCAGCTATCATCAAGTAGGTACTTTGGACTCCACTGCGCAGTTGATATGCGTAAGCTTGTAATTGCTCAGCTCGATCCCCTGCACTAGTGTGAATGCCAGGCTCGACGTCAGGCCAGAAGTAGTGCCACTGCTACCAAACTGACTGTCCCTGCATTTCTTAGCAACAGGTTTGCTCTGCCGAGCTGCTACTCGAGCCTTTCTTCCAGCCTGACCAAGCATTCCATGACCTTCCCCTAGCCCATAACCCACAGAACTCTTCCAAATGTCTCAGTTTGATCAATATAGCCCACACGGAGTTCAGATGTTGCAGTAGGTATACTAGCAGGGTTTTAGGAACACTGCATCTCCCAAGACGATAACGGTTCCGGACTCGTCCAGCGTCCGGGCGACCCGTCTCGCCTCATCCGGATCCGAACAAACTTCACCGCAGATCCGAACGAACTCGGATCGCGGCATCCAGTTCCTTCCCGTGTCTCTCAGCTTCGATTTGACCATCTCCAATCGCGCCACACGCAGCAGCTTTCGTGCGTCATCGACAGTCAGCCCGTCCGCCGCCGTCGTGGTCTTCGCCGGCTACTCCGATTCCGACTCCTCAACCACCGGCGGATGAGGGACGAGCCCGTCCAATCGGACCCGGCCTCGGACAATGTCGAACGTCCTGAGCTTCTCCATCAGGCTGCCCCCCGCGCCGACCTGGAACGGCTTCGCCGACGGACCCTCCGCCGTCGCCGCGACCCTGCGGTGGAACAAGCGGCGGAATCCGGTATTTTCTCCAGGATCGGGAGCAATGTCGGGCTTGCTCTGAGGTATCCGGCTGCGGACAGTGGCGGAGGACGAGATCCGGCAGTTGGTGAGCGACTGGGTGGTCGATATTCATTTTTAGAAATTACACATTCATTTTTTATAATTATAATTTTTTGTGATACTGTTGTGTAATTTCTAAAAATTTAATTTTTATTTTTCAATTATTTTTTATTTGCCACGTCACATATTTAACGGTTAACTGTCAGAGTTGACCGCCATGTCAGTCAAAGTTAACGGAGGTTAACGGAGAGTGACCGAACTTGAACTGTTCAACTAATTCGAGTGACTATAAATGGAATAAATTAATTTGAGTGGCAAACGTGAAATTTATAGCAATTCGAGTGACCAAACTTGCAATTAAGCCTTAAACAAAACAAAAGACAAAAGTTGTTCATAAAACATAATAATTGTTATTTTTTTGTTTAACGAGAAAAGTCGCGTGTTACAACGTTTTAACTTCTCATATTTATTCGTTGCTTGTCACGCCCAATTGCCAAAGATAATATAGTTTAATTAATCGTGATTAATGAGTCCACAAAAGGTGCCTTGTCCACTTGGAATTGGCACATGCGACCCCATAATACAGATTAAGGAAAATAATTAAGCAAAAATGTGAATCACCAAATACAAGAAACAGCACTTGAAAGTTGAAACCGACTTGGGTTGTAAGCCATCAAGAATGTGTTCACTAAGCATTTGTCAACCTGGTATATAACAATAGAGTTGGACGGAATTTTTAAAGGGAAGGATTATTTACTACTAAAAGAACAATATGATCAACAAAACTAATAAACATACTATGCATTCGTCAATTTTTCGTTCATCTTTCTCGAACTTGTTTTTTTATTGTTGCAGTTGTGTCTATGTATTTTTTTTCTAGGGCGGTCAGTTTGATTTTGGTGTTCCGATTTTAACTAAAACCAAACTGAGTAGAAATTTAATGATTTTTTATTATTAAATTTTTTTTATCCAAATTAAACTAAAACGGCTAAGAGACTTAGATTTATCAATAATTGATAAGTCACTTAGCAATTTGTTTTAGTTTTTTAAAATTTGTCATTTTTGATTTTTTATGCTTAATGGTTTGGTTAACCAAACAACTAATTTTTCCTCCTCCTCTCTTTGTTTTTGTGCTCTTGTCCCTTCGCCGAATAGTGCATAATGAATTGGAAATGTTTTTGTTAGACTATTTTGTTTCTTTATTTTCCTATATAAATTTTCTTTTCCGGGTAATTTTTACTACATAAATTACAACGCTATTGTAAGAAAAATAGACATTGTAATATAATGGAGTTCGAGAGACCTTCACTCCATGTTAATCAACCCATTATTTGTCCCGGAACCAAGGAGAGGAAGAAAATAAAAACAAAATGTGGATATCTTCAAAGTATATAACATAACTCTTTCCTTTTTTTGTTTCCAAGCTTAAAAATGTATCCCATCTTACTGCTAGCAAATCACCAAAACCCTACTTGGGTTGTTTCGTCTTCACCCTATAATAATAACTCTCATACAATTAATATTAGATTTAACATGATGCGCTCATCAACTTCTTATTGGATCAATCGATCTTTAGGTGTTTGATCTTCTTGTTCTTTTTTAACTGGATTCCTATTTAACGCCCTAACTTTTTAAAATTTTCGCCCTAAATTAACAAAACTGACGAATTTATCCCCACCCGCTAAATCCCTAAAACAGAGCGTTTCCGCTGCTCCGCTGCCTTGTCGACGCCGTCCGCCCTGGAACCTTCCCGTCGCTCTCCGCCCTGCAACTGCATTCCGCTCGAGAGTTGTCGCCGCAATAATCTTCCGCTTACCTATTATGCTCCCTTCCCGTTCCTTTGCCCCCTCCAAGATACAGAGACCGCCGCCCTGCAAACCCCGCAACGAGTCGTCGCTCCGTTCGACCTCCACCGCCCTCTGCTCACCAGCCGCCGCCCTGCCCACCTATCCTGCTAATAGGACGGGTTGAAATCCCATCAGCGGCGAGGTCGGCAGCAACTCTCTTCTCACATTTAGTTTGATTTTGGTATTCCGATTTTAACTAAAACCAATGGGGTGACCGAATCTGCACCGACTTTTTCCTAGATTCTGTCACCCGATTGCATTAGATCTGAACCGAAACGATTTAACCAACCAATCAGTCAGCCCATGGTCGACAACCTTGTTTTTCATACACATGCCCTTAAGATGCTTCTTCCATAAAATTAGTGGCAAAGCAACTTTTTGGGGTGCTGTTGTTAGATTAAAACTAACACCGGATTTCATTGGCAACAACTAAAACACCAACATACTAATTTTTTCAAATATGGTATTTTTTTTTTCAAAAATAACAAATTTCAAACTTACAACTTCTGTTTTTAACCCTAAATTGACTTTTATGAGAGCCTTAAATTGTGTTACATTACCTCTTCCACGCACTAAAGAAAAAGGTGGTGAATGATCTCTCTCAAAATTCTTTTGATTTCCTTTCCAAATCAAATTCCCCAAGAAAATTAAGAACTTAAATTATTGTTCAATTTTCTTGGGGAAGAAGGATTTGGAGATCAGGATCAAAGTTTAAAGTGAGGGAACAAAAAGTTATCGAGGGAGAATTAATTGTAAAATTGTATTTATCCCCTCTTGGTATATAGGCAAAGATGAGTTTAAATTGTCTAACTTGTCAACCTTTGATGAGGACGGACTCAGATAGAGAGTATGAGAAAATTCCAAAGATGATGAAAAATCATTCTCAACGAGTAAATAGTAGTGCGCCAATTGCTTTCAATTCGGATGGTGGCCAGCCAAAGTTGGTAAGGAGCTCTGGAATGAGAAGAGATTGGAGTTTTGAGAATTTGAGAGTAAATGGTGAGAATTACCTATTAGAATCGTTATCATGGATAATTCTCTAGCTAATCTATTTAATAGTTAAAGTTTATTTTCTTTCATTTGGCAAGTTTTTAGGAAAAATTGTTTCCTCTGGCTGCTCATCTTTAGAAATAAGATTGGCGAGGACAAAACCCCAGATAATAAATTATTAATTTTTCTTCAGTATCTCTATCGTATTTGTTGGTACAGTTAGATACAAACCAAATTTGTACTGTGATTTATCGATCGGAATCATAGTTACTGCAAATAAAAATTACTTCAATATTGTCATCTTTTGAGTTTTGATCGACATATATTTCCCCTCTTATTTGATTGGCGCGAATGTTTTCATTTCGATTTTGACACGAGTCCTTATTCAAAACTATTAAATAAAAATGACATGAACTTTCTATTGAAACGATAGATTTCATTGTGGTAAATGAATCATACATGTCTGATAAATTTGTTGATTTTGTGGCTGATAGATATTGTCTGTCATTGAAGAGGAGGGAAGTCCTCTGGGATCATATTGGAAAGAAGAGAAGAAAACCAGAAGTAACAAAAATAAAACCTATCCAGACATTGCTTTCTATTATATTTTGTTGTATGACCCTTAATTACATGTATATGATTAAGTTTGAGCATGTATATGAATTAAGTTATGTGAATCATCAATCAACTTGTTCCTCCATGGATTGACTTTTGCCATATCCAAAGAGATGTAACGACTAGCTAACAATGAGTAACGAATACAAATCACTGTGGCCATATCAGATTGAGAATAGAAAAATGTCTTATGAGTGATCAAACCCTAATATCAAACAAGTTGAAACAACACAAAAACTTGCCCTCTGATATCTATTATCCTGCAACCTGCAATAACTATACCACATTATACACAACGACGAATCGAAAAGTTTCTATCTCACAGACAAACCATTCCCAACTATGGTATATATCGATCCATACGTATCGCTCCCTTAGCAAACTTCACATTTCGACACTGTCATTACACAACAAACGCGATCCAATTCCCAAGTCGGATGCTGCTCGATCGGTCTTCATCTCTTCTTGTTTCACACCACTACCAAGTACCAACTGCAATGAAATGAGATGTTTCCATTGTCAAACAGTGAAGTTTTGTCACCCAACAAAACCTTAACACTTGCAAGCTAAGAATACAAATCCTTCCTGCAGCTAGAGAACTCAGCTTTAACTAGACTGTAATTACAAGATCAACAAATGCAACGATAATCGAGTACATTACTGTATATCTCAAACATTCAGCAACATTTATCAAATAAAAATTAAGGGGGAATCAACATAGGACCATAGTACATTCAGTACCAGTGAAGCAACCAAAATTTCCTTCACCCGGTTCTTAATTTTGAACAACTACAACAGTCCCTGCCGAATTGTCAGCTAGCCTAGAAATTTTTAGTTATCGATATGGGGAATTGATGGAAGGAGCATAAATCAAATCGATTCTGAACATATCATTTCACTCCTGCACATTGCTTGAACATTGAACATAACGAATAGCTCAACCAAGAACACAGTGGATCTCAAGTCTCAACCAATTCGAACAATAGAGAGCTGGAATCAATTAGTTGTTTTTTCCCCTACATTGAGGAAAACCCATTTCCATGTCGATCTCAGCAGCCCCCCAAAAAATGAAAAGGTGAGACCTTTTGTTGTTTTCTGATCTATCTCAAAGCTACTCGAGATCAGTTCTTCGCGATACAGATTGCCATGGACGATCTGAGCTAAAATGCAGTTGAAGTCTAGTAACAGATCAGTATTCCCATGGTACATAAGATCAATCTGCAGTGACACAAAAATAAAGCAACATTTTTAGATGCTGAGAAGTTCGTTACAGAAATGAAGACATACATTTGTGTTCAATTTACCTGCAAATCTCCATTGACCTTCTCCTCTGAACGAGACGGATGGGGGGTGCTGGTTTGAGGTTGATGCTTATGCTGGAACCAGGCCATTCGAGATCGTCAATGGCTTCTTTTCTTTCATAGCTGCAGACTATAGGTTGTAGGAGACATGATTTCAGACAATGTGCAAGGTAAGAAATTCAATGAGGCATCTTAGAAGTTAGGAAAATCTAATGGATCAAAATACGAAAGGCAAGAGAAAAATTTCGAGAAAACAAAACTACTATTTGAATCCCTCCACATTTCCTTTTTTTTTTTTCTCATCTGCCCATTATTTCCTTATCCCTTCCGTAGTCCGTACACTGTGAATCAATATAGAACGGTTGCTTGGCTTCCTTCTTCGTCCCACTTCCATGGCTTCTTCAACTCCATTGCTTCATAGCTACTTACCCTTTTGGATCTAACCCCAATTTTCATTTCTGCTCTTCAACATCCACTGGCATAGTTGGCGCCATAGTTGGAACGAGTTCTTCGATCCTGTTGTCGGCTTTCTTTCTTCACGCCTTCAATGGAACCCGACGGCAAATTTCCAGAATTCCGGAGCAACCCATTGGAGCTGAACCTAATCTTCATTGTGGGCTCCTACCAGTTCTTTTTTTAGGCATTTATCTTCCTCAGGATTTGATTAGAAAAGGGAGGGAGAGAAACCTTTTTTCCCGCCTCTTCCATGTTTATTATGGTTTGGGAATGGATTACAGTAGGAGGGATGGAAATGTTGTCCATGTAATTCAAACCGTCCCGGAGTATTGGATTCCGAAACCTTCCGATTCCAATCCCGTCCCGGTCTGGGCAACTGAGGACGAATACCGCGCCTGGGATCATCTGTCCGCCGACGGCGGCGAGCCTCCGAGCAAGAAGACGAAAGGAACTTCGTCAAATTCATCGAGTTCCTAGGTGCCGGAGCAGGCTTCGAAGAAGACGATTGGGAAGATGTTCTTCAAGACGAAGCTGTGCTGTAAGTTTCGGGCGGGGACTTGTCCTTACATAACCAACTGTAACTTTGCTCACAACATGGAGGAGCTTCGTCGCCCCCCGCCAAATTGGCAGGAGATAGTGGCGGCGCAGGGGGAGGAGAAAGGAGGGAATAATATGGCAGCTGAGATTATTAGGGAGGAGTTTCAGATTCCTTCCGTTGGTGGTGGATTTGGAGCTGAGACGCAGAGGTCTTATAAAGGTAGGCATTGCAAGAAGTTCTATACTGAGGAAGGATGCCCTTATGGAGAGAGTTGTACGTTTTTGCACGATGAGCATTCTAAGTATAGGGAGAGTGTGGCGATAAGCTTGGGGCCTGGAGGGTATGGTGGAGGAGGAGGTGGCGGCGGCGGTGGTGGTAGTAGCAGCATAGTTGTAGGAGGAGGTGGAGGAGGCGGAGGAGGGAGTGGAGATAGCGGAGTTATTGTGGTTGGAGGTAATGGAAGTGGTGCTGCTGCGAACTTGAAGCCATCAAATTGGAAGACGAGGATATGTAACAAGTGGGAACTCACCGGGTATTGCCCGTTTGGGATCAAATGCCATTTTGCTCATGGATCTGCAGGTATGTTGTGCCTTGCTCTTGTTTGATGAGTGTTTGAATTTGTCTACTTGCAAGTAATGATGGTATATTGTGATCAAACAACCATGATGGATCTGTTATAGTTTTAAACAATCTGCAACTTTAACAGAAAAAAGGAAGTAATGATATATGTGTGGTTGTAGAGTATAATGGTTCACTTGGTAGTTCTTTGTTTATACTGTGAACTGCTACTCATAGTCCGACACACCAATAATCTCATTGATTTCAACTAGCCCTTTAAACTTATAGCCAGAGGGTCATTGGTTGCTCTCATGCCTTAGTGCAAAACTGAAAATAGTGTTGGATTATTGTCCAAGAACTTAAGTATTTGACGTATTCCCGGGAGCTTGTAGGAATGTTTTATTGGCTCTTTGGGAATTGGAGTTGAACTCTTTCCTTTATCTGGGAATGGTTAAGTGTCAAGTCTTCTAGTCCTTTTATATGTGACCTGTATCATTTACAGGAAGAGTCCTGACAGCTAAGGTCCATTTCAATCTGAAGTTCTGATACTCAAAGTCACATACTACACATTCATTTTGCAACATTCAACTCGTTTCTATATACCACTGATATACCTCTTGTTTAGTTCATTATGATGGGTATCTCTTTTCAATTCTGTAATCCAACACTGTTGACACTAAAAGAACTTGAACTGTGCTGAAGCAATTGTTGCTGGAAATTGTAGTTACGTTCCTTAAGCTCGTTATATTATACATTTCGAGCTCCTGTAGTTTTCCTTTCCCCTATCTTTTCATTTCTGCAGAGTTACATCGGTATGGAGGCGGGCTTGTGGATTCAGATGCCAAAGATTCTCCTCCTTCCGCCGCTAGTGACTCGAAGACAGGAGTTGTGCCTCCCAAACCACCCCTCGACTCAGTGGTTGCTTTGATGACTTCAGTCCCTCATTCTGATACATATCATCACCTCGGAGTTCCATCTCAAAGATCATCATCTATCCTTATCCAGAGATCCGGCCACAGAGCTCATCAGAAATGGAAGGGCCCAGATAAAATCAGCAGGATATACGGTGACTGGATCGATGATAACGAATGAAAGCACCCAACTTATTAATGTTAATCTTGTAAGAAGTGTAGATGGGTTAGCACAGAACACTGAATCGGAAACTGGAAGCGCTGTTCGCTTGTCGTTGTAGAAGTGACCCTATTGTGATTGTGTTGTTGTACTTTGTAATCTTGTAAGAAGTGTAGATGGGTTAGCACAACTCCTGTAAGAAGTGTATCTTAATGCAATTTTTAAGCGTTCTTGTTATCCAAAAGCTCCATAATTTTCAATGTCATTTTTATCATTTAACATTTTAAGTTATTAATTACATTAAAATAAAACTAAATAAACATGTAAATGAATCAACATGATCAAGATTCGAACCTATGACCTATTAGGTGAAACTATTATTATTTCAAGTGTTCAAACAATTGGATAAAGTATATTTGATGCTGTTAATCACAACAAAACATGTATATCAATCACCATAACTAAGATTTAATCATGCAAAAACAACTACAAATAACTAAGATTTATACATGTAGAACACATAACATTCTATTTTTATTTAATGATTGATTTCTTTACATTACACAACAAAAACTAACATGGATAAAAAAATTTATTCTATTTTTTAGAAATGATAGAAAATCATTAACAACTAATAAAACCTATTTTTAATTTTTAGCTTCTAATATGTTCAATAATTGTTTATAATTTTTTAAAAATAATTTAAAATTTTTAAAAAGCATGAATTTAGTTGGTACTGTATACAATTCTAATCTTTTACATAATTTGAAATGTGATTTTCTTTTAAAATTGAAAGATTAAAAAGCAAAGAATAACCTTCTTTTATATTCTAGAACACGAATAATTTAATATTTTGTTTGTACAAACTATTATAAATATGTGAACCAATACAATTATGTTGCAATTTGTAGAAAAAATGTGCTATAAATATCAGAACTAATACACTCTTATTGTGATGTACAAGATAAATAACAATATTTTTGTGTGCTTACTAGATTATTGAGAGATATATAATAACATGCAGTCAAAATGATGATTTGTTGAATAAAAAACACAGTCATAATAACTTATTCACATGTTCCTATACTTTAAGAGTAATGAAATATATCAATATAGTTCAGCTATGCTACAATGATAGATGTCAATTTCATGTATTTAAGAATATCAACAATGGTCACCAAATTTTTTTTGTATCTTTTCAAAACCAAATTATGGTTATATGGCTTAAATATGCATGTGACCGATTGATATGAGAAGTTACCAGAAAAGTAATATACATTTGTCATCTTTACAGTCTGTTTGGAATAACAAAAAAGTAAGGAATTGGAATTCAATTTCCAATTCCATTTCCATATATTATGTTTGGAATAATAAAAAGGTTGAGAATTGAATTCCATTGGGTCTAAAATTTGAGAATTACAATTCCTATTAAAAGTGATAGGAATTGAGAGAATGAAGATGAAATTAGTGAGACCCATCAATACTTTTAATTATTTTATTGACCCACTATCATTTTACCCTCTTTCTCTCTCATTCATATTTTATTTCCCAAAATAAAACAAACATATTACATTATTTATTATAGTTTAAAGTGCAATTCATTTCCATAGTTGTAGGAATTATACCAAACACTAGAATTGGAAATGAAATTCTATAAAAATAAAAAATAAAATTCCATCTCCATTTACATTTCTTCCGGAATTGTATCCAAATGATATCGTATCTTTTCTTTAATGCTATTCTAATTTATTTCTATTTTCATTTTTCGTACATCATTAAATTTTCTTCCATGAACTTTTTTTAATGTAATTATAATTCCTTTCTTTACTCATATATTGTTTGACGTAATTCCCTTTCTTTTTCCTACATGAGTGTAGATGTGCAACTTTGAGTCACGTTGAGATCCATAACACCTAAATTAAATAAGATTTCTAAACGAATCTTAAGCTATTGGATATATATATACACACACATATATATAAATAATGGTTGAGATGCAAATAACTATTTTAATCCTTACTTATAAGTTATAACAAATGTGACACCCTAATACATATATTACTATCACAACTTTTAGTAACCACTTATACCCGCCGGATAACTCGACTCATAAGTTAATGATCTAATTCTTCGTTATTTTTATTACCTTTAAGAGTACAGCTCGAAATGACTTATTGTTCCTCCTAGTGACCATGACAGAACGTGGAGTATTCAGTTTTCCCTCGCCCACCTCTCAACCCTTACTGGCTTAACTTAACTGTCAAGATACACCCCATATTGTACATCTCATTCAGTCAAACAAATATTCATTCATCACCACATCCCATATCACGTTCATCATCTCAAACTCAAAGAATTCGTACATTCACAACATAAGGACCATCACGCAGTCTCTTGATAACTTACTGTATAAACAAGTATTACCACGTAGGATTATGAATAAATTGTGTATTCTATCTTTTGTTCATAACATAAAAGCATTAACCGCTAAAAATAAAATTTTGTGATCTCACTTAATAAGATGTTTAATAATCATCTATAAATATTTAAAAAATAATAAATAAATAAAATAAAGTGAACGATGATATGCAGTTATTACCAAAATTCAAACTTGTAATATAATTTTCAACTCAAATTCTTTTCAAGTTAAAAAATGAAAATAAATAAAAAAACGCTTTATTATACTGAAACACCAATGATGCAAAGTTTTGATTGTACTATTATAATTATGTGGACTAACACTTATATTGTGATTTACTCGAAAAACATCTGGAGAACCAAAAACTAATCGACCTACGGTTTCGTCGCAACAACGTAGGTATCCGCTTTTGCAAATATGACACTTGAGGCGTGTTTGCTCGAATTCGTGAGCACATGGCATGAATTCGTAGAAGATATTAGCTTTCTTGGTTGAATGAATTAAAAAATGGGATTGGTTTAGAACCAACTACGGGAAGGTGTTCAAGATGAGGGAGTCATCGACATGCACATTTCGTATATCACATCATAGGAAGTCATCACTTAACCACATCATAAGTAATCTTTGTCCAAGGATTCAATCACATGCATGATTATGTTGATTCAGTGCTTTTTACTTCGTAGGGGTCGTTTGGAAGTTGTGATTGTTAAATAGATGTATTGTTGTGAATGCATGTATAATATTATACATGTATTGTCGAATTTGATGCATTGTGAAATACAACGTTTGGTATGTGTGATTGTGTATGTCACATTAGCTAAAAGATGAGACAAAACAATCTCAACTCAACAATCACATCTAAAAATTGACATATAACAATCACCCATTTTGAGTGATAGTTTTTGTCACATCACAGAAACAATCAATGTATTGTTTCTGTTAAAAAATAAAAAAAATGATATATTCTAAACAATACATGTATAATAACAATCTCACCAAAACAATCGCAACTTCCAAACGACCCCTTAATTTTCGAAGTCATACACTCCCCGGGTAGTACAGTAGATGTCAGGTATACCACCGCGGATCGTACCTAGACTGGTGTCCTTAAATCCACTGCTGGATCATACCCTGACCGATGTCCTATATACCAACGCGGGATGTACCTGGACCGGTGTCCTGTAAAAACAACAAGGGATCATACCTTGACCTATGTCCTGTAAATTCATCTACTTTATTGATTCCATAACTGGGCGCCTTTACGTGTGTAATAAGTTATCACACAATTCCAGTTACAATCAGTCACACATTTAATTTTGGATGATAATGAGAAGCTAAGACAAAGTGTATGTATACCTAACATTTTGTTTTGACATCATTTATAAAATGTTGAAGGTAACATAGAAGTGTAGTAGAATAGTTTGGGTTGTACTTTAATATAATGGTGGCAAAGACTAACGTACACTCGAGGTGTAATATACACCTTTTTTCACACCTATGAGTTGTACTTTAACAGATTTTGACAAATAAGAGTCGTTGGTTATTATTTTTATATTAAATAAATCGTACGATTTGGATTAGAGAATTATATTAGAGACTGGGCTTCACTCATTAGAGGCTAAGGTATAATATCATATCCCAAACTTCGTTAATTCATGGTCTAAATAGCAAAACTCGATTGGAGTACGGCAAGGTGACGTACGCTAGCTTAAACCATGTACAACATATGAAGTTAAAAATTGTTGGTCAATCAAAGATTAGATGGTCATGAATACTTCCAAGCGGTGATGAAGTTACATCGTATTTTCACATTATTGTTGATCATGATGCTATTGGATAAAATACGGAAAATAGATAACAATAATAAATAAATAAAAAAAAGTAGTATTTCGATGCCATTGGAAAAAAATGACAAACAAAAGATGGAAAAATAAAAACAAATGACACTGCCGCCCATTGGGCGGGCACAAAAATTAGTTTACCCTCAAAACTAATTATGTACTACTTTTTCATTTACAAGAGATTTAGTGACTTTAAAAGGTCAACTCAATATTATGGATTAAATAACTTATGTCGGGCCTTAATTGAGTTGGTTTTTGGGCCTCAGTGACAGACCGCCTCACCATCTCCCTTGCTTAGGTGGCGAGCCAGTCTCAATAGGTTAATAAGTGTTGATAGGGATGTGTAAGAGGGAACGGCTACGGTGCTAATTGTACAATAGTTAGCACCGTCCTAACCAAGGGAAAAAATACTACTAGTTTGAATTAGTAGTGATTTAGTTTAGATGTTGTATTGATTTTATAATAATCCGTAGTGATTTCGTTATTTTTAGTAGCGTTTTTTGCTAGTTATCACGGTGTTAACCCCTATAAGGGTTAGCACCTAATCCCATCCCATGTGTAAGAGCATTTGCATAAATGCAATTGCAAAATCAATTGCATATATTATTCATATTGTCAACTCACAATTTATGCAATTCAAATCTTATTAATTTCATTGCACAACATCACTGCAATTTACTTGTCATTGTAATGAAATTTTAATACAATTTAAATAATTTTACACTCTTAAATAATAAAATAGAAAATATTTTAATAATAAAAAAGATGATGTGTCTTGTAATTCATGATTGCATTTAATGCAAGCTTGCAAAAATGCAATTGTCATCTACATCCATGAAATTACATAATAAAATTCAAAGTAAAATCCAATGCGGATGCCCTAACAAGATAGTTGATATAAAATGTAGCTACCATAAGCTAAGTCTGGAATCCTAATGGCGGGGATTTGTCTGGAACTATAGGAATGACAATGGGGCAGGTCCGGGACGGGTTTCTTGGTACCCAAACCCGCCCCGTGGCAGGTCGGGTCCAGGTCGGGTAATTGATCACGGGTCGCGGGTCGGGGCAGGTTGACCCAATGGGTATGCAATTTATATTAAAAACATTATAAATATTCGTTATTTTTATTATAAGCCTAAGAAAATAAACAATATTATGACAATTGCAGTTAAATTATTGGAGAAATTGAGGTTTTTACTAATTTACAACTTTCTTATAGCTAAAATATGATGCAATCAAAGGAAAATACTAAGTAATTTGACTAAGATTACATGTAAATTAGACAAGAACGGGTCGAGAATGGGGCGGGTCAGGGCAGGTCGGGTCGATGAGACTACCCATGCCCGCCCCGCCCCGAAACAGGTCAAACAGGTCGGGTAACACGGGTCAGGTCGAAATTGCCATCCCTATCTGGAAGGGTACCAAGTTGACAAGACGAGCTTGGTGGCAAGCTAGATAGGTACCTAGCTGCCAAGGTGTAAGGTATCAAGTTGATAACATTGACTTGCCGACAAGACACCAATGTACCAAAATGACGAGGCGAACTTGGTATCGAGCTCGCCAAGGGGCCACCTAAAAGCTAAGTAGGGAGACCAAACCGAAGAGACAAACTTGACACCAAGGTGGCAAGCGGACAGAGTACCAAGCTGACGAGATGGACTTGCTGACAAGCTGAGAAGATGACATCGTGGGCATCCAGGTGGGCATGTTTCAATTTTTTATGAGAGACTTGGAGACAGGCTTGGTATCAAGCTGATGGGGTGCCAAGCTGGTGACATGGGCCGTTGGCAAACTGGTAAGGTGGTAGGATACCCAGTCAACAAGATGGGATGGGTGTCTAGCTTGCTGTCAAAGCGGGAAGGTAGCAACCTGATGAGACTGACTTGTTAACAAGTTGGCAAGACGAGCTTGGTGGCATGCTGGAAGGGTACCAACAGGATGAGATAAGGGTGTTGATAAGCTGACAAGACGTGCTTGCATACAAAGTTGCGGAGTATCAAACCGATGAGACGGGCTTGGGACAAAGCTGACAAGATGATGAGAACTCCCAAACTGAGTGTGGAATATTAGTTAGTAAAGGGGTTAAGTTCTTACCCCATCAAGGTGGGTAACAAGGATTAGCTAACAAGACGGTGTCATTGATGTGGCTGGCCAGATGAGAGTAGCAAGAAGCGGGGTTACTAGGGTTTACAGGGCACTCAAGGAGGCATGGTTGAAGGGGTAATGTGATGGCCTGACGAGGACATGGCGAGGATGCTTCAACCCCATCGAGTCAGGATAAGGCGGTAATACTTGGGTCTAGTTCCATTCAACACCAACCCGACCCGGCGTCGAGGGTATCAAGCTTAACACTAACTAGTCACCAAGATGGGACGCGGGGTACTCAAGACAGTGAGAGTGCATAGCACAACGGCTGGTTAACAACAAGACGACGAGGACCCTAATTAAGGAGGTTGTCAGGACGGTTTCACCTAATGACTACAAATAGGAGAAACGAAGAGAAGAGACAGGTGGGCAAAACCACAACTCTGACACACATGTCAAGTTTATCATTTTCTAAGCAAAGTAGCTATAGGTAGCTCTCACTGAATCTCCATAGGAGTAGAGTAATTTGACATAGCTTGTTCCAAAAAAAAAAAAAACCAGAACAACATCAAAAAGTCCAAAACCCTCGTTCGAACATTGTTCACAAAGGTATGAAATATGTAGGTATTATGTTAGTCTCCTACCATGTTTTCACATATCGTCCATTGTCATCAACTACCATGTGTTTGGAGGGTTTATGTGAGTCTCCAAACTACCAAGAGTTTTTTCTTACTTGTTAACCAAGTTTGACCCAAAACCTCTACTAATCTTTCTCAATTAACTATTTTTTTTTTTAACCATGGGAGAGAGTAGTGAAAGAGAGCAAATGCCGGTAAATTTTAAGACAATTCCCCCCCACACTTCACTCTCTTGTGACCCGCTCCAACAGTAAAACAGTAAAAAAACCAAAAGAAACGAAGAAACAGAGTACAAAGCAAAAACATAGTAGCAACAAATGGACAAGTAGAAGAAACAAAAGCCGATAAGAACCAATCTCCACTTATGCAAATCTGGAAGGCCGGACATTCAAACCCTTTCCGGCCACCGAGGAATCGGTAACCCTCCCCCCCCAAAAAAAAATGTCGACCGCCGGCGACGGGAGTATCAACACGCCGCCGGTGTTCCCAGCAGACGAGCAAGCATTTCCAACGCCATCAGTGACCGTCGTCTTGACCACCGTCCTTCTAATCCTCTTCTTCCTAGGCCTCTTCTCGATCTACTTCTGCCGGTGCTTCTTGGAGAGCCTGATGGACGACTGGAACGTCGCCGGCCGGATCCCCAATTTCACCGACAACGCGATCAACCACAATTCCAGCGGCGGCGGAGCCGACCCGGAAGAGCAAGGGCTCGATCCGGCCTTGGTTCAGCTTTTCCCGACGTTTCCCTACTCTAGCGTCAAGGAGTTCCGGCGAGAGAAGTACGAGCTGGAGTGCATCATCTGCCTCACCGAATTCGAGGAGGAAGACCTACTCCGCCTCCTCACCGTGTGCTACCACGTGTTTCACCCGGAATGCATCGACCTCTGGCTCCGGTCCCACAAAACGTGCCCCGTCTGTCGGCGAGACCTGGACCAGGTCTCCCGCGACAGCCTCGAGAAGACCCCGCTCAACATCTTCGACAGTAGCGCCCCTGTCGTTGTCGGGAACAATGACTGTGGAAGTCTTATTGACGGCTCCACCGCCATCACCATCGACCAGGAGCGTCGCCAGAGTGATGGCGGTGGGGAGCACGATGAGGAGATGAGGACGAGGACAGAGAGCGAGTTGAGAAGATTTTCTAGGTCTCACTCCACGGGGCACTCCATAGTGGTGTCACGGTCGTCGGTCGGGGATCATGGAGAGGACGAGGACGATAGGTACACGTTGAGATTGATGGAGAATGTGAAGGTTAGAATGGTGTCGGCACCTAGGCGACATTGCGCGGTAGAGAGTTGTATCGCTTTCGGTGAATTTTCTAAACTCAGAGGTGTTTATAATGGTAAGAACAATAATAATATTAGCATCATCAATGGTTGTCACGGTGGGTTTGGAGAGGTGCCGGGAACTTCCGTAACCAGAATAGTTGGTAAGTCATAGATAGGTATTTTAGATTAGTTTCTAAGGAAGCGACAATCCTTCATTAATTATTCTTCCTTAGTTTCGTGTAACTTTTTTTCCTCATATTTTAAGCATTGTAATAGAGCAAGTAAGAGATTATTGTTATGACGGAAATGGGAAATCGACGATGTAAGAAAATAAAGAACACACAAATTTATATGGTTCACTAATATAATTTGTGTAAGCTAATTCACATGCAAAAGAGTATAGTTTCACTATACTTAAGAACGATGCCAATTATAGAGGGGTTGAGAAAACAAAAGGTAACAAAACATGCCCAAAAAAATCATATGTGTACAAGCCTATGCATCATGGATAAAAAAATCAAACCCCTCTAATACATTATGTACCATATGCAACCAAGATTGTAAGATGTACTCAAACTCTCTCATGCGTTGGAATGCTCCTAAGGGCATGAACAACTCATAATGTTCAATCAAGTCTAATTAGTGTTGGAACTTGTCGTGTGGAACCGGCTTTGTGAACATATCAACAAAATTATCGACAATGTCCACTTTATTCACTTTATATATCTTCTTTGTTATTAGGATATGATACATAACGTCTATCAGCTTAGTCCTCTCATAGTTGACTTGATCATGGACACAATGTGAATGTCACACTCCATATCATCAAACTTGGATCATGGATACAAGAGCTTAAGATCGACCATACAGCCTGCTCTCTTAGCTACCTAGTGAACTACAACATGGTGCACATGTACATCACCCTTCCAATAAGAGACCAACTCGAGAAAAATCATGCAGGAACAATAAATCGTGTTTCAAACCCCATACCTGAGGTTTTATATGTGCCCAAGTTCAGTTTCATCCTTGTCTTTGTGAGCAAACTTAATAGAGATAAGTCTCTTTGTTTGACTTTTTCTCTGACGTATGCTTGATCTAGGATATGCAGCTGAGAAGGATAAGTGGTTCTACAAAGCTCTTTAATTGTTTTTAATCATATAGACAACATAACACTATAAAGTAGTCCTACACACATCACAACTCGTAGCACTCAAACTTTTGATCATTGGCACTTTAGACTTGGTCATGTTTCACACTTAAAAGTCCATCATTTGAGGTAACTCTGTACATCCATATAATTAGATAATTATCTGCCTTGTGATGTCTGCCATTTTGTCAGACAAAGCAAACTTCCTTTTTCTTGTATTTTAACTATTTCTACAACAACTTTAAATTAATACATGTTGATATTTGATGGCCAAATTTTCTTTCTAGTCATGAATAGGGATGAAAAAATAGACCAAATTGTTCGAAAAATCATGGACCAAAACGAACCGTATAGTTTGGTCTGAATCGTAGACCGTCAAGAATGACATGATATGGTCCATGGTCTATTTTTTTTTATAAGAATGATATATGTTACTTTTTGTGATTAGGTATTATGAAGAGACTCGAACCTGGGGAGCTCCAGGTTCAAGACTAGTGGTATTACCACTAGACCAATCCCTTGTTCGTGGTCCATGGTCATATTTTGATCTCTTGGTCTGGTGTGGTCCAGACTATAGTTTACCGATCCAAATTGTGGACCCATCCCAGTTCACAATTCGAGTTAGCAGACCACTCTCTCAGCTCTCCAACAATACCCAAGTCTCAACCTAATCTTTAGAATCTCGTCTCCTCCTTTATTTAAAAGGCACACTCTGACAGAGAGTAGAGACGATCGTGTCTTCATATAACATTATGTTGTGATGCAAGTTGGATTGCTCTTTTTTTTGGTTATTTACTTGGATTAGGATATCAATATTATGCATGTGTATTGGAAATTTATGTTTTAAGGAAAGATAAATAAATTTGTACTTGGGTATTGTTTTTTTTTTGTCTCGTTGACTAAACAAACGGTTCTTTTTGCTCCCAACGTGGTTCACCTAGTGCATATTGTAGCGGACCAGACCGCACAAGCGTGGATCATCTCATTTAAAATCAAATCATAAGCCAAAACTAAGTTGCAGAGTTCTATCATTATGCTCAGAGACCATTTCAACACTTGTGAGAAAACTAAGAAGAGAACAAGGAAAAGAATTCAAAATGTGTGATTTTTACAATCAGACCGACATCCTTCACGAACTTTCCTTTGTTGAAACACCACAACAAAACAAAAAAATTAAAAGAAAATACCAACATAACTCACAATAGCTAAAGCTCTCAAGTATCAAACCAACTTGCCAACTCATTTTGGTGTGCATGTGTGACACATGCAGTTTATTTTATCAAAAGGGTTCCTACAATTGTTCAAGGGAACCAAACTCCGTTTGAGAAACTTCACAACAACATAAAAGATTTTTCAAAATTCAGGGTGTTTGGATGTTTGTGTTTTGCCAGCACCTTAACTAACCACAAAAGTAAATTTGACTACAAGCTAGGAAAGGGTTCATTGGTTTTACAGAAGTTATAAAGGGTTACAACTTATAAGGTCTATGATCTTGCCAATCATGACATCTTCACCTCAAGAGATGTCCATGAAAGCCACTTTCGTTTCGAAAGAAGCTCCCTCCATCAATGATATATCACACACTTACGCTTGTCCCTCATAACTTGCCTTGTTTGATGATCCTAGCTAGCACTTCCTACCACCTGTCACTTGGTACCATCTTTGTTTTTAATTCGAATTTTGGAAAAAAATTGTTCCGAGTAAACGAGTTCATTGTGATCTATTAGATCTACAAGTATTTAGGAAAACAAATTTTATGATAAAAAATACCACCCTATAGGGTGAGAACTGGTGGTAGACGGTGACATGTATGCTATCATTTTACACGCTGGTATGTTCATATACTACCATGTTCCACTCTTATACCACGTGGTATTATCTTATGTACTAACAAACATTAACACATGGTATAGATAGATAATAAATGTCTCAATTTTTTGTTCCAAAATATATCAAAGTAGATATTATTTTGAAGAGCACCATTAATCGGATTTAATAGTACAAAAAATTACATTAGGACTTAAAACGAAATAGAAATAACTCATCAAAATTAATTGGAAGAAGGATTATAGACATTCCATGAATAGTAAGTGAAGATTATGCATAGTTTTGTACTTTATAGTTCTACATTCTACCAGCTCCTGGTTGTTGGAGGAGAAATGAGAAAGATTTGATAGGACTAGTTGTAGTCCTAATTCGTGAAACATTAGGATTCATAAGTTTTGGGCCTTGAATCTGTTTGATCCACGCAACCTAAATGAGAATCCAAGGCCCGGCCCCGTAGGTAGCAAATTCAAGAGCACAACTATATACGTGACCTCAATCGAAGCCTTAGGTAGCTAGATTTATGACCTTTGAGTTGAGACACAGAGAGTCTAGACGCATGTGTAAACACAAGAAAGAAATAGGGATGGAAGGTTCTTTTTTAGTGGGTGTGATCAAGAGACTAATTATATAGGTCCAAGTTAACAATTCCTGATGAAGATTTGTAGTGTTGTTGTAGAAGTTGACAAATCACAATGCACCTTCTGATGAAAACTTGGAGGAAATGGCAAACCTTGAGCTTCATTATGAAGAACAAGCAACAACTCGATTGCCTTACATGATTAAACATTTCAGTTCCAAGATTTTATCACACTTTATATTTCAATTAATGGTAAATTTAATTTGTCAGAACTTGAACAGATGCATCTTAGTTGTTGAAGGTTTTGGTAAATAGACTTTTCTTGGCACAATATAAAAAAGTAATTCATGAAAGGACAAATTAAATTGATTAACGAAATCTTGAGATTATATTCCGTGTGCGAAACTCTGTACTTGTGAGCTGGGGTGAATGTTGCAAACCTGCGGATCTAGTAGACCACAATCGTTTAGGTCATTTGATAAAGGTTGCCATGACACTTGTAGTGCTATACACAAATAAAAAAATCCGAAACTTATTTTCAAAGAACATCAATAGCTGATCAGAGTGTGACTGGTGAACATGCTTCAGATAATAGTTTTCTTATTTTCTATAAATGCTTATAAGTTATCAGTACAACAACACATATGGTAAAACATTAAGTTTATAGAATGGAGTTTAACTTCACTAATTATAATGAGGAAATTTCATAACAATTATTGGATATAATGGCATTGAATTATGTCTTCCACGTGATATAATCTTATATACTAATATTCTAGTTAGCATTACGACATGGTATGGAAAGGTAATAAATGTTTCAATTTTTTGTTTCAAAATATATCAAAGTGGATGTCATTTTGAAAAACACAATTAATATGATTTTTCTATACAAAATAAATTATGACTTAAAAGTTAAAATGAAATAAAAATAACTTATCAAAATTAATTAAAAGAAAGATTAGAGGTATTCCATAAATAGTAAGTGAAAAGGTAATACATGGCTATGTACTACAAGATTATGCATTCTATCCGCTCTCGATGTTTGTGGTTGTTGGAGAAGAAATAAAAAAGATTTGATAGGGCTTGTTGTAGTTAGGGATGACAACAAACCCGAACCCACAGGTACCCTACCCGACCCACCTGGTCAACGAGGGTAAAACCCGTGTTGACGGATTTTGGGTCGGGTTCGGGTTTAAACCTGTTCACTATTCATCGGGTTGGGTTTAGGTATACCCTCCCCATGAATACCCACCCACACCCATATATAATTAATTTTCCTAGTATATTTTATATTCTAAGCAACTAATCTTCTTTATATTTGTGGAGACATGTCTAATTTTTTCTTTCTAATTGTGTAGAATGAAGTTGATATTATCGAGTGGAGAGTGCAGAAGCTTAATTGACAAGGAGGAGGAAGCTTTCAATTAATCATCTTGTTTATGGATAATTTGTGATTCGCTTCAATTTTCTTGAGTTTTCTAGATTGGTGTTGCACAATTTATATGGTTAATTGTGATTTGCTTGAAAGAATGGCGTTTTATATATGGATAATTTGTATCAAAAGACTGATATTTGATTTTTATTTTGATAGGAATTTGTTATTGTAATTTTTTTACGACAA